TGCACTGACCCTCTCCCCCGCAGCCTGCACTGACCCTCTCTCCCCCGTCCCTCCCGCAGCCTGGCCAGGCAGTGGACTCTAGAGGATGAGGAGGAGCAGGAGCGTGAGCGCCGGCGGCGGCACCGAAATCTGAGCTCCACCACGGACGACGAGGCTCCCAAGCTCGCCCAGAATGGAGACGCACCGGCTGCCCAGAGGTGCTCGGGTCAGGGTGGGGGGACGAGGCACCATTTCCCTCTCCCAGGTGACCGGGATGGACTTAGCTGCCCCAGACAGACAGCGTACGACAGGTTTGGCCTGCCTAGCCAATGTGATGGTCTGAAGATAAGCTTCCAGCTCCTCACCCTCCCTAGACTCTCGTCCACACACCAGTCCCCAACCTCTTCGGAAGCAGAACACGGGCGACTTGCTGAGATCACTTACCCAGGGAGTGGCAGGGCCAGACTTCTCGTCCAGATCTCTCAGTGTCTGGCTTCACCCTTTCCATAGCCCACGCTGCCTCCCTGTCCCCCTGACTCTGCGTGATTCACTCCTGGGGGGAGGGACACGCGGGCTACTCTCGCCGCCTAGATTTTAGGGCTATGAAGGAAAGCAGGTCCCCCGTGTGCCAGGGCGGTGGTGGGCACTCACAGGGAAGGAGTCTCATTTCACCCAGCAAACCTGGTTTGCAGATTGGGAAGCTGAGGCGCAGACAGCGAATTAACTTGCCTCAAAGCACACGGAGGGCAGGGGGTGAGGGAGGAAAAGAATCTCCTTTGGCTGGAGGCCAAGTGCTACAGGTTTTGGAGAGTCTCCTCATGTTACTCTTGTTCCCTTGGGCCTCCCCGGGGGGGAAGGGACAACTCAGTGTGTGACCTGGGCCGTGGCTGCCACGTGACTCACAGGAGTGCAGGGTGGCCTGTGGGAAGCTCTGGGTTCTACTCCCAGTTCCACTGTGCATTGTCTGGGTGACCTTTGACACATCCCTGAGCGTCTCTGGTCTTGATCTAAGCTCTGAGGGGCAAAGACTGCATTTATTCCTTTTGCCCGCCAACGCCCAGCATGGGGCCGGGCACCTATAGAGTAGCTGTTCAGTGTTTGTTGACTGGGTCTGAACATGGAATAGTTGGTCCTTAGAGAGGTTTATCAACTTTTTAAAAGCATGGAGTGCTTTGTTCAGATGATTTCCTGAAAACCCATATGTAAAGCAGGTAAAAGCGATCCTTATTTAAGTGATAGTTGGGGGGTGGGGTAGGCCAGTGCTCTACTTCCTCACCCCCTCCCTGGCAGCCCCAGAAGCTTCTCCACTGGATCAGTTCGCCCCAGGGTCTCTCCCACCTCTGATAGCCCCTGATTCTTATTTCCCACCCCATCTTCCATCTTCTGGCCTAGACTGCTGAGCGTGGAGGAAGCAGAGGTGCCCAAGCCACGAACCTCAGCCTCTAAAGATGAGGAGGATGACACCCAGGCCATACTCAGGACCCGGCAGGAGCGGAGGCAGAGGCGGCAGATAGTGGAGGCTGCACAGGCCCCCAGCCCGCCGGGGGCACAGGAGCCAAGGGACAGCTCTGGCCCAGGGCAGGCCAAGCAGCAGCCCCTCGTGCCCAAGAAGGACGGGGAGCTGCCACCTCGCCGGAGACTGAGCCGGGAGCGGCGGGGCCCCTGGGCCAGGGAGGAAGAGAGCTTGGCGGGCCGCGAATCCGAAGGTGGGAAGAAGGAGGTCTCAGAGAAGCCGGCAGTCTCGGAGAAGCCCCCCGTCCTGGGGAAGACATTAGTACTTGGGAAGAGACTGGTCTCAGAGGAAACCTCCATCTCAGAGAAGGCTCTGGGCCCTGAGAAAACATCTGTGTCAGAGAAGTCAATTCTAGAAAAAACAAGTGTGTGGGAGAAGCTGCCGGCCCCAGGGAAGACTTCAGACATGGAAAGGAGAATAGTTTCTGAGAAAGCATCGCTCTTTGAGAAGTCTCTGGTGTCAGAGAAGACCCAGGCCACCGAGACAAAGCTAGCCCCAAGGAGGGCGGCCGCCTCAGGGCAGCCCCAGGCAGGGGGGCAGCCGGCCTCGGGGGGAAGCCACCTGCCCCCCACCACAGGGCAGAAGGGAAGGGCCCTCCCTGAGGAGAGCCCACCATCCTCAGCCAAGCTGGGAGAGCAGGGGGCGCCGGACCCTCCGACTGTGGCTTCCCGCCTCCCGCCCATCACATTCCAGGTCGGCAGTGCCCCTGCCCCTCCCAGCCCTGCACATGCCCCTTTCATCCTGCCCCAGGTGGTCTCTGGCTTCCTCACTGTTTCCTGTCCTCTCGCCATGAGGCTGGCTTGGGCTGTTTCCTCTCCCTCTACCTGCTTCTAGTCTCTGTCAGAACAGACACTAAAGCAGGGGCCAGCCGAAAAGGGCATCAGCTGTGTGACAGAGAGCACAGCCACCCTGCACCCCATCCTCATCCAGGGTCTGGATTTCAGGACACCAGCAGCCTTTTGGGAAGCCGCAGGTCCTTCCAGAAGTTCTGCTGGAAAGCTCTGTCTGGTGGCCCGGCCCCACAGAACTGTGTCCACCATCCCCACGGCAGAGGCGGAGAGGCGGGAGTCCCCAGAGGAAGGCATAGGACTGTTTTCTCCACCCCCCCCTTCCTCCTGCAGCTCCTGGGATGAGCCGGGCCACATGGGGTCCCCATGGCGGCTTGGGCTTTGGGCTTCCCAGACCTCCTGTGTGACACTCCCCACTCCATCCAGGTGAAAATCCCCAGCAAGGAGGAAGAGGTAGACACACCCTCGCCCACCCAGACCACCTACAGCAGCTCCCTCAAACGCTCCAGCCCCAGGACCATCTCCTTTCGGGTGAGAGCCCAGGGCACCTTTTGTCTCCAGTCCACTGGAGGTCAAGCCGGGGAATTCAGCATTTATTACAGCATGAGGGCCTTAGGTTAGATATCAAGTGGATTCTTTGGCTTGAGAGGGGTTTTGGATTCCCGCGGGTGGCCAAGAGCCGATGACTTGGATTAACTGAAGGAGAGCAGGTTAATGACCCAGCAGGTGGGTGTGGATGAGATTGAGCAGCCCCACCTAGTGGGCAGGGCCGGAGCTGCAGGAAGAGGGCACCGGGCGGGTTCAGTGGCAGGGGCCCCACACCTGCCTTCATCAGTTCCTGATCTCACCCAGGAGGCTGGCACAGGGGGAAGGGTAGGGGCTGAGAGCAGTGGGGCTCTTCCTAGAGCTCCGTGCTCTGCCTCTGTTCCGGTAGTACAAGTTGTGTGGACTGGAGACTCTCATCTCACCTTCTGGTATTTACTCTCAGTTCCTTGGTTCGCTGGGTGGTTCATTCATTTTTGACTGACTGTGCTTTGTGCCCCTGATGTGTGCCAGGCCCTGGGGAGGAAGCTGGAGGCCTGGTGTTGATCGGGGTTGGTCCCTGCCTGGCAGGGTTCATGGGCAGTAGGGAGGTAGACAGGAAAATAGATGGTTGAGGTGGGGGGTGGGGCACAGGAGGGGCTTTTGACCCAGCCTGGTGGGTGGGGGCAGGTGTCTCCCAGACAAGAAGAAGGCCTTTAATGGAGGTTTGGTTGGGGGTTGGAGGAGGAGGAGGAGGAGGAATATTCAGAGAGGTGAGCCCTTACCTTGTGGAAGGCCCTGGCCTCCTTGGGACTCTCACTCATCAGAGCCTTTCCTTCTTGTTTCAGATGAGCCCCAGGAAAGACAACTCAGAAACAACCTTAACCCGCAGGTCAGGGGCCTAGAGGCTCTGGCTTTGTCTCATCTGGTCACATTCAGCCTACCTGTGTTGAGCGCCTGCCGTGTGTACTCCCAGGCGGGGCTGCAGGGCACCTGAGGGGAAGGTGCCGTCCTGGGCCAGGGCTCCAGGTCCTGCAGGGACACTGGACTGACACGAGGGTTGGAGGCCCAAGGAGATGGAACAGGGAGGGAAGGGATCAGGGAGAGCTTCCTGGAGGAGGCAGGGCTTGGGTGGGGCTCTGAAGGTAGAAGAAATTGGGGTGGAGAGGAGGAGGGCCTCTTAGGAGGACTATGAAGAGTACAGGGAAGGAGAAGCCTCTGCTTTAGCAGGCCTGATGATGGGGGGCCTGGGAATCCACATGTTCCATGAGCATCCCCGTGCCCCATAATTTTGATGCAAGTAGTTTAAGGACTGTGTTTTTTTTTTTTTTTTTTTAAGATTTTATTTATCTACTTGACAAAGACGCAGCAAGAGAGGGAACACAAGCAGGGGGAATGGGAGAGGGAGAAGCAGGCTTCCCGGAGCAGGGAGCCCGTCGCGGGGCTCAGTCCCAGGACTCTGGGATCATGACCTGAGCCAAAGGCAGACGCTTAACAACTGAGCCACCCAGGCGCCCCAGGACTGTGTTTTGAAAGAAAGAAACTGAAATGGGGTCTGAAAAGCAGTTGTGCTTATGTATTAGGAATTTCATGCACTCGTGCTGCGTCCATCTGCCCCTACGCATTTGTGGAGGCCGGCTGTCCTGGGCTAGGCCTGGGGTGACGGTGGCGGCAAGGGGGCCCACAGATGAATGAGATATGGCTGCTACTCTCCAGCATCTCACGTGGGCCAGTAAACATGCAAGAGCCCCTCAGCAGGGAGGTGCAGGGACAGGAACATGGCCCCGGAGTGGCAACAACAGCCCAGCCTGCGGGAGCCAGAGGATATGTCACAGAGCAATTGACCTCTGGGTGGGACTTGAAATAGAGGGCCCAGCAACAAGTAAAGGCACAGAGGGTGAAAAGCGTGAGGTATCCGGTTAACTGGCGCATAAGCATGTGGAGAAAGGGGTTGGGGCGTCGGGGGGACGCTGGTGTCAGGAGGGGAGGCAGGGACCAGACCGTGAGAGCCTTGTATCCTCTACCAGGGAGTTTGGTCCCTGCCCCGTGGCCTGAGAGGCTCGAGCTGGAAGGACAGGGTGGGCTTTGTTTGGGGTGGGAGCGGTGGCGGCAGGAGGGGGAGAGCTTGGGGTGGCAGGCCGAGGGAGCAAGAGCAAGGTGACTGTGGTGGTGGGGAAGGTGGGGGCGGGGGAGATTCAGACTTGTGAGGTGTGAGGTGGGAGTGACAAGACGGGGGAGGAATGGCGGATATTTCTGATCTTGGGGGTGTCCTGCTGAGTGGGATGTTTCTAGGGAGGTGAGGAAGGTCCCTGGACTTCTCTAGTCGATTTTCACCTTGGCCAAGCCATTAGAGTCTCGTTCGGTGAGGGAGGCCGTCTTCTCTTTGTCCAGAGGGTGGGTGGGCACTACTCAGGCTCCGGGCGGGCTGAGGGCAGAGGTCTCACCTGGTTTGTCCTGCAGCGCCAGCATGCGGCTCCCGGCTGGCACAGTCAAGTTAGGGGAGAAGCTGGAGAGATACCACACGGCTGTCCAGGTGGGCAGGGCTCCTGCGGAGGGGCCTCGGTACCTGACTGGCTTGGTGGGTGTGGCCTGGGCGCCTCACCTCTGTGGGTCAGCCATTTGTGTTCTCTGTTTCCAGAGATCAGAATCAGTCAAGTCTCCTGGCTCCTCCCGCACCGAGTTCTTTGTGGCTCCCGTGGGCGTAGCCAGCAAGCGCCACCTCTTTGAGAAGGAGCTGGTAGGCCAGAGCCGAGCAGAACCGGCCTCCAGCCGGAAGGTGAGGGGCTCAGGCCCATCTGGATGTTTAGGCTGGTTAGGCCTGAGGCCTCCAAAGGCAGAACCGGACCCTGGCCATACCAGAAATCTCCGTGTTTTCATGTGTCCATTTAGGCAGAACCTGCCATTGACTTGAGTTGCCACGCACGAGCCCATCTCCTTAGCTGTGCACAGTACTCCCTGCGGGGGGTGGGGGTGGGTTGGGGGCCTTCCCGGGTATATGTGGCACGTGCTGAGTGGATATGGGAGCAAGGTAGAATCGTGTCCTTGTGCCAGGGCCCTTTCTAAAGACACCATGCTGTTACCAGCAGCTCCAAGCCCTGAGATGCAAGCCTTTCTTTTCAGGAGAACTTGAGGCTTTCAGGGGTTGTGACATCAAGGCTCAACCTGTGGATCAGCAGGACCCAGGAGTCTGGAGATCAGGACCCGCAGGTATGTTGTCTCTCCCTGAGATCTCATGCTATGGGCCTTTCATGGTGGAGTGACCTGGGTCAGAGAGGGGTCAGCCCTGAGGGAAATGGAGATGTGCCTGGAGCGGAGACCATGTGGAGTAGGGAGGCCTAAGTCTATCACCAGGACGCAGAAGAGAGGAGGAGTGGGTCTGGGGTCTTCCCTCTCAGGAAGGGGAGGGGCCTGGGGAATCCCAAGCCCCCTCTGCAGTGTGCCTTACTCTGCCCTAACCCCCCATGTCTCCAACCAGGAGGTGCAGAAAGAGTCAGCAGCCACCAAGAGGACCCAGTGGGGAAAGAAAGACTCCTCCCTGGATGTAGAGGTGAGGGGCAGAGAGGGGCTGGCCCTGGGGAGATCCCGCCCCTGCCCCCACCCCCACGTCTCCAACTGCATGGTCCCAGTACCTGGAATGTCACGGTTCTGCTCTCAGGCTGGTTTGACCCAACCTCGAGAACACTGGTTGAACCCCTGAGCTGGCTTCTCTGTGCCCGCAGCTCTGCAAAGCCCCTTCACCAAGCAGGTTTGGGGTTTCTGACCACTGTGGGTGTGGGCCTTGGGCCAAGGGATGCCTTCCTGTCCACAGACCCCCTTGCCCTCTCAGCCCTAGGAGCCTCCTTGTCTTTTCTGACAGACCTCTGCCCCACAGGTGTGACGAGCCCTGCCAGGATGGACCTGCAAGTCTGCATCTCAGGGGCCCTCCCTCAGGCGAGGCCCTGCCACCAGCAGCATCCCTGTCTCTCAACCCTGCTCCCTCTCTGCCTCTGGACCTGGAGCCAGGAGTGTCAGGGAGACTCAGCCACCTCCTTCCCAGTCTAGCGTCTGGGGGCGGGTGTGCCCCGGCCCCTTCTCGTCCCACTGCAGGCACAGCGGGGGTGCAGCACCAGCTCTCATCAGCACCGTGTGGCCTCCATGTCCTGTCTGGAGGTGGCTTCCGGGCCCTGCTCACGTCCAGGGGCAGGGCGGTGCTGTCTCTGGAGAACTCCCAAGATTCCCCCTGGAGTGTGCCTCCATGTGCCTGTGATGTCTCTCCCTCACTGAGGCCTGGAGCCACACACTTCCGTCCCTGGGGCCTGCCTCCAGCTTGCTGAGGTCCGTCGGGCCAGATTGTCCAGGCGCTGCCCTGCGTCTTCCGTGTGCCCTGTCTCCCTGCTTCCTTTGCCTCTCGCTTCCTTGGCCTGCTGCTCGGCCAGGAGCTCGGTGCCATTTTGTGCACCCCTTCACCCTCTTTCTGAAAAAGCTGTTCTCAGGAAAGAGCTGATAAACTCATTCGCTCTCAGGTGTGACTAACAAGACCTTAAGAATGGATTCCTTCCTGGAGGACTTGCTTTGGAGCAGGGTTGCCTGCAGTGTGTGAGGAGGATTGTTGTGACTGGATGGGGGGTTCAGCTGTCATTTTCCCCGCTTTTCCTCACGTTGAGGTGCGCGGCCACCCGGTCCTAGCTTAGTGGCTTGGCGGGGGGGGGGCTGGGACTACAGTGCCACGCCTCCGCCACGCTTCCCCAGCGCGGTCTCCCAACAGCCTGTCCTCCCCGCTCCCAGTGTCGTGGCCCGTGTGAGCTTGGAGAAGGCTGAGCTTTCTGAGCATCTAGGACAAACCAAGCTCAGTCTGTCTGGTGCTCTGTCAAACCCCTTAATGCTGTAATTTAAAAAAAAATGTGTGTGTGTGTACACACGTGTGTGTGTATATACAGATATGGATATCCATCTATATCACACACAATTTATATACTCTATACTACACACACATTACACATACACTATATACACACACACACCTATTTTTTCTTTCCCCATTTGAATTTGATTAGAACTCTTCTTCCTGATTGCTCTGGTTTTACCCAGAACCAGCTGGGGAGGGAGGGAGGGAGGGAGGGAGAAGTGCAGAGCCCTCCCCGCTTCCACTTTGTCCTCTGTCCCCAGACATACCTGGAAAACCCCAGGGTTTCTCAGAACACAGCCCTTAAGGGCATCACCAGGCCTTAGTTCCCCAAGCTTGTGGGCGCTGACACACCAGCCAGGGACTACCAGCCTTGTCCCAGCCTCTGTGATTATGAATGAGGGCTCCTGTCTTGGGTCCTTTGGTCCAGGGGACAGAAGGCGCTCAGGGCCTCATCTGTGCAGACCTCCCAGTGATCCCAGGCTGGCCCATCTGCAGCCGGTGGCTGGTCCCGAGCCTGCACTGAGCTAGGGATAGTGGGACCTGGAGGGCCCGTCCTGCACCCCACTTACTCCCCCAAGGGCGGAAGCTTTTGCAAGAGCTCCACCTCCAGAATTTTGAGGACAAAACCAGCGTTGCCCAGAGACTCAAAGGACCTGCTGGACTCAAGTTTCAAACAAGGACCTAGGATTTTTGGATGCTCATGTTCTCAAGTTTGGGAAGTCTCCTGCCAGGTGAATTTGTTCTGCAGGCAGAACTGTCCTCACATAGATCTTTCTTGGGAGAGGCTCCCAGAAACCCTCCTCCAGAGTGGAGGCCTGGGTGGGGGCGGAGGGGGCTGGCTTGGGCTGGGGTGTCTGGGGGATCCTGGCGGCTACTTCCTCAGGGTGTTGAAACGCTTCACGCCTGCACATCCTCCCTGGGGTGACCATCAAGGACAGGCCGCAGGGGAGAGTGTTGGGGGACATGACCCCGTGACTCCCTGTCCTTTGCATTCATGCCTCCCTTCTTCCCTTCCCCCACAAAGAGGCCCTGACCTCATTCCTGGCAGGGGGACAGCCACCCGACAAGGAGACAATTACATGCACAAGATGATTTCAGCTGGGGACGGGTGTGAGGACAGAGTGCAGCATGCTGGTGACTGGGTGGCTCAGTGGGCAGGGGAGGACCCTTGGGGGAGGTGACATTGAGCCCCCTCTGGAGAGAGAAGTCCCCCTACCCACATACCTACCACCCCTTGCCTGGTCGACTCTTCTGCCCTAGTATCCTTGGGGCCCCACACATGCCCTGCTCTCTTGTGGGTCCTTAAAGTTGCAAGCAGTGTTCCAGTATATGCTTCTTCCAGTAAAACTCTGGGTAAGGACAGGGCACCCACGACAGGCTGGGAGCAGCCCTGCTGTGTCAAGGTGTGGCTGCTGGAAAGCGGCTGGATTTTCTCACTGCCTGCCTGCCCCCCTGCTTCTCCAAATTAAATCCCTGCTTTAGAACAGTTAGTAAAAGCCTCACATGGTCCATGAGCGCCAAGAACCTACTGGGTTTTTTCGGGGGGGGGGCTTGGTGATTTAGGTGCTCAGGTGCCTCTCCCAAGCATCTGCGCAAACAAATTATGGCCTTTTTGAAGGACTCTTGGGCTTACGAGGAACAGTAACCCACTGAAAGTGGCTCAAGTGAAGGGAAGGCCTAAGACAAGCAATCCCTAGATCCCAGGAGATTCCAGGCCAGGACACAAAGCAAGGCTGGGCCCCGGTGGGCTAGATAGGAGAGCAGCACCATAATGCCTTTCCTCCTCCCCTCAGGGACAGCCTGGCTGCTCCCTGTTCCAATGTCAGTCTGCTCCCCCCACCTGTCCCCCCACCTCCTCTCTGCTGGCCCATGTCCCCTGCTCCCCCAGGATGCTGTCTGGCAGGCCCGTGGCCTCGGCTCGCCCTGCCACAGCTCTGCTGGCCGCCTAGAGGGGCTCATGGCGGGATAAGCCTAGAGGTGGGGGCATCAGACCACTGGGCTCTGAGGCCACTGGGGACCATGGAGGGGACGGTTTCAGCTGAGTTGATGGGGCAAGAGTATGACAGCAGAGTTGGGGAGCCGCAAGTGGAAATCCCACATTCTCTCAAGAACGGTGGCGGTGGGCACAGCAGAGTAGCTCCCAAGGCAGCAGGACTGAGAAGAGAGTCCGGGACTGGGAGGCTTGGATACATGGTCAGGTGGGGGGAGGAGGCCAGGAAAGGGGGAGACTGGCTTTCTTCACACACGGAGAAACAGACAAGAGTGCACATCACTGATGGGCAAGATCTGGAAGGGCCGGGGGGGGGTTCAGAGCTCAGGGGCACACGGGAGGAGTGGGCCTGGCCCAGAGGAGGGATGTTCCTTCTTCAGAGGTAGGGGAGAGGCCTTGGAGACTCAGAGACATTGAAGGGGAGAGTCAGCTCGGACTTGCTTTCCGCCCCCAATTTCCATCCTGTATTGAGCCCCAGGATGGCTTGGGCACTGTGCTAGGGGCTGTGGACATGCAAGCCAACCACAAAACCCCTGGATCCTGGCCTACGGATCTTACAATCTAGTAGGTTTAGCAGATCGGGGTCCCGTATTCCTTCATCTTCAAGCCTTAGGGGGATGAACTTCAGCGGTCCTCATGGCCCCCTCAAACAACCCAGCTGCCTGTCTGAGGAGAACCATCATTCCTGATTAGAAGTTCTACCTTGTGTCTGACCCCCTGGAGCAGTTTTAGTTCCTTCCCAGTGAGGAGGGCTTGTCACATGGCTCTAGGGGGCATGGAGCGGACCCACTTTGCAGAAGTCCTCACTGAGGCCTGCCGAGCCTGCCTGCTCAGCCCAGTAGAAACAGCCAGTAGCCTGGAAGACGTCTTTCCCCATAGCATCATTTTCTGTGTAGCTGCAGATAAGCCCTTCCCTCTGCCCACCAGACTGCCCTGGCCCAGAGACTCATGAAGTGTCTCGGAGGTTGCCGTCTGCCACCCAGCTCTGCTCCCAGCCTGTCTTCCCAGGCCTGGGCCTCTGGCATCTGCTTTATCAGGATTCTTAAGAGGGCTAGCTGGTTTCTGTTCCATGCCTGCTCCCTCCTCTCTTGCCTGCGTATCTGCTCTGGTTTTAAATAGCTTATCTGAGCAGCTGGACAACCACATGGGCTTATATGGCGTGGGCTGCATGTCCCTTTAGCCCTGTCCCCGGCACCTGCCAAAATAGCAGCCAGCACCCCTCACGCCCCCGCCGCGTCTCTGGCTGCACATCCCTCCCACCGCAGGGCTTGGCTTACAGGGCCCCAGCCCACAGGCCTGCTTAAAGCCCTCTCCATCCCCTGCCCTCACCCAGTCCCTGCTGAGGCTGAGCAGATACCTCGGGATCTGTCGGCAGCTCCTGGTTTGAGGTAAGACTCGGGCACGGCTCGAAATGGGCAGAGCAGAGAGGAGAGGGAAGATGTCTTGCAGCCTGGCACCTTTACCAGAGTCTGCCTGCGTCCACACTGCGGGGATGTCAGAGTTGCTGGCGGTCCATGTTCCCTCCGAGAAGAGGACACACTTTAGAGGAGGTGTCGCAGGGATCAGACTGCAAGACTGGCGCAGTAGAGCAGCAGCGACCCTCTGTTCGCAGTTAGAGCCTTGGATCTGAGTCCCAGACCTGCCACTAAAGATACTGTGTAGCTGGAAAGTCTTGGGTGACTACCTTTCCCTCCCTGGGCCTCAATTTCTGTAGAATGGACGAGATAATCGCCAGGCCTCTGCCTGCTCTGAAGACAATGAAGCGCTAAGCAACAGGGTGTCCCCCAGATTGCTTGGCCCCAGCCCTCACCTCCAGGCCCGGGGCCCCCTGAACCTTTCCAGGCAGGTCCTTCTGGATTTAGAGCAGAGCAAGACTGCGGTCGTATCAGTCACAAGAGGGCCTGGTGGTCAAATTCTCATCTCTAGCAAGTCAGCAACTTGTCTTGGAAGCGTTGAGAAAGAGTACACGTGCAGAGGCAGGCAGGGACCTCTGGAGCAGCTCTGCAAGCAGACAGGAGACGTTCGTCTGACTTCCAGAGCCAGCACCACCCCCCTCTGCAGAGAGAAAGCACTGCCAAGCAGCATTTCGGGGGCTGAGGGGGAGAGACCCCACCACAAGGTCCTCTCATGGGCTGTGAGCCCAGCCCCGGGGTCAGAGTCTAGCTGCCCCCTGCCCCCAGGGTCTCTGCGAGTGTGACGCTTGCCCCACCTCATCCTGACATGCCCTGGAGGGACAGACCTTGCACTGGGTCTGGGAGTGACAGAGAAGGTCTTATTCCCTTGATTTTCAGCTTCTCCTGGGCAGGCGGAGCAAATGTCTACGGGAGTGATTGCCCGGAGTGTAAGGAATTTCAAAGCACATTCCGGGCCCTGTGCAGTTGGGAAGCCACCTGACCTCCAGAATTCCTTCTCTGACCCCAGTCTCACAGGGCAGGTCCTCTGAGCAGCTTGGGTTACCCACTGGCCCCCCTCAACCCTGTCCCCTAGCTCTCCTGGTGGGCTGACAGCTGCAGGCTTGGGAGGAGTCCAGCTGGTTGCTGGGGACAAGAGCTGAGGGATGGGGCCTACATTCCTCAGAGACTCAGAGACTTGTTTCTGCAAGACGGGAGCTTGAAGCTCGTCTAGAGAGATT